GAGGAGGAAGCGGTGGCGGCGCCCGGGAGTCGTTGAAGCCCTCCGCGGAGGGGGCAGCCGGGAACCATCCTCCCCAAGCCCAGAGGCAGGACTTCGCAGCAGGATGGGGTGGAGAGCCCGCGGGAGTGACCCCCACGGGAGTGAACACCCCCCACACTCCCACCATCGCCGGCTGGCCCCGGATCGGGAGGCCCGCAGCAAGATCTTCAGCCAAGGGACCACGATTCGCCGGGGGGCTGGGGGTTTGCTGCCCAGGACCGTGCTGCACCAGGGCCCTGAGCCGTAGGGGGATGGGGGGAGGGGTGGGGAGATCCCGGCACCAAACCCTTCTGCGCTGCTCGCTCTGGTGTATCCTACGTGCAGGGATGACTGGGGCTTTCCCCCAAGACTCAGGGGAAGGATGGAGCTGTAGGGGCTCTTTTTAAGTAAGCTGAAGCTCTCGAAAGGAGGAGGGCACCAAAAGTAGTGGAGCTCAGGTACGTCAACCTAGTTGCAGTGGCCAGAGATGCATTAAATTTCTAGATCCCTGTATATAGTTGTTGACATATGCACTAGAAGCTATAATCACATAGAATTCTATGTATATCCTCCCACACCCTGGGTAGCTACTGACTGAAGGGGTCAAGCAAGGGCTATTTGCTGTCCCCCGAAGTACACCTGGCCGGAAGGGCACCAACACGGCTTCTTAAATCACTCACTTTCTCCTGTTCCCCTCCTATTTCTGAAATATAAGTTTATGACGTTCTTTCACAAAAGAGTATAAGCATTCTTAGACTGTTGACGTGGCTGTGGAAAGCCTTAGGAGAAGTAGAAGCAACTTAGGGGGGTGGGGAATGTACTCATCCCCTCTTTCCATCCTAGTGCCCCCACCAAAGAGGCTTGTTGCAGCCCTCAGTATCTGAATATGGGCCAGGGAGGAAGGAAGGGAAAGAGCAATGCTGCTGTGCTTCAATCCTGGCCTTCCCCTCACAGAATTCTTTTAGGAAGAGCAAGCTTTTGTAAGTAGAGTGACTGGCAAGTGTTTTTATCTTTTTTTTTTTTTTCCTGCTCCTCAAAATGTTGTCTTGTTCCGGCAATCACTTTTGCCTTCCCTCTTTCCTGAGCCTGTAGTGACAAAGCCCTGCGATTTGGGATGAAATCTGTTGTGACCCCAGAGCTTTGATCACACACACATCCTCTGGTTTTGAGTTATGCTACAGAATCAGAAAGGCTGGAAGGTGGGCTTCACTGAAACTCAGGATTGTGCTTTGAGAGCCAGCTAATAGACTAGCCAAGGGAAGGTTGAATTGGCTGTCTTTACCTTTCCTGAGAAGCCCTACTTAAATGCAGCCTGTAATTGTATAAAGGAGATGAGAAACATCAAGAGAAATATGTGGACATGTGTGTAGCTCTGGGGTAGCAAGAACTAGACTTCGTCAATTTGGATTCCATTTCCTTCTGCCACTTGCTTTTAGGCAATTGAGTGTGGGTAGTGATGAGATATCAAACCCCTTAGTGTTTCCTTTTTGGGAAATGAGCCACTATTTTTTAAAAAAAAAGACAACTTACCCACCTGAGTCCTGAAACAGTTTGTCTCTCCAGTTTTCTGGCCTATACTCTGGTTAGCTCTGAGCCAAGTTTACAGGACAGCAGCCTTGCTTTAAGCCATGTCCTGTTGTGGGCACGATAATAGCAACTGAGCTGTCACAGCCTACCAGCAGGCTGGTAACACCTCCAGGGTCTCTTGGCTATAGCAGATTTCTTAGCAGCTGACTAGGACTTCAGTCATTGGGAAGCCTGTGAGGCCTTTACATTTTTGGTGTGAGACGGGGAAGAAACATAAAATGCCACTTTATAACTTCAATAATAGCCTGTAATTTATATTTACTGTGTGAATTTTTAGTCCTATATTTTAATAATTTGTAAATTGATCTCTTATTCCAAGAATCCTTTGAACTTATAGAACATCTGGGAGTCCACTTCCCTGTCCTCTTCCTGATCCCTGCTTTCTGGACTGTTTAAATCCTCTTTGGGATGGATCAGAGAGTCTAGAGAGGCCACTCATAGTTCCAGCTGCTGGCCTCCTGACTCTCCAAAGCCTTCACTGGAATTGGGACATTTGCTCCAGCCCTAGCTGTGAACATGACCAGAGACATTATTTATAATTCAGCCATTTAAGATATACCTGTACTCAAAAAGTCCTGTATATTTTTTAAAAGTTTTATTTTTCAGGTGAACAAAAATACATCCTAAGAACTCTGCCTAAGCCTGTGTAAGTTGATCATTTCTCTTAAACTGTGCTTCAAGGGGACGGAGTAGAGGTTGGAAGAGTAACTGGTCTGAGGTGGAATGGATGGATGGTGATGAATAGGTTGAGGAGGAAAAAACAATTGCCCTGCTGTTCTCAGTGCCTGATGGCTGGAATGAATTGATTAGTGAAGGGTAGCAGAATCCATCTTAGTTGGGAAGCAATCCTGGGGTGGGAAGAACAGTGATCTCTAGCTCAGCCACCTTTTGCCAACCTTAAAACAGGCTGAGAAGAAGTTCTGCTTTACAGGAGCAGATGCCTAGCTGACAAAGCTAAGGGCCCAGTAAGCATGAATATTAAGATTTACTGCAAACATTTAGCTGGCTAAGCACAGGAGGTGAGGATAAGCTGCCTGATAGCATCACTGTCCTCACCTTTCAGCCATTGGCCTCTAGATAACTCAAGAAGTGCTAACACCAGAAAGGCAAGTGTGCATCTGTGGTGCTTGGTCAGAGCTTTGTCTACCATGGAGGAGGTAAGAGAGCCAAATGGCTGAGAGGTGTAGGTTGCTTCAAAGGTGAGGCTTTTTTCTTCCCTTTAAGCAAACAAAAAAGATGTGGGTGAAAAGCACAAATATAAGGGATTAGTTATGCTGCAAAATACATGGTAAGCAATTGAGCTCAGCTCATTATTAGACAATGCTGCCCGGTACAAATCCGGAGTGAGAAGCCAGTGTCGGTGGGGCCCCCTGAGGCCTGCACTTCAGCAGAGCTGTTGGGGGGTAGCTACTGTTCTTTCACATTACCTTGTAGTCTGCGGGGAGGCATGGAAAAAGTCCGCCCTTCTTTTATTTCCCTCTTCAGCCTACACAATGACTTTCTGAGAGAGGGCTTGGTAAGGCAGAGCAGAAGGCGAGTGAAAGAGTTTCCGAGGCTCTTTTGGTCGGCCCCTCCTTTTTGCAGACAGTGACATGTGGCTTCTACAGCTGCCCACGGTGGCTTCACATGTTGGGCACATACAGCAATATGTACAGTGGGAGCCTGCTTAGCGGATGAGACAGGGCCTGGTTGGCTGAGAAGCAGTGGTCTGAATAGCTTTATTTCCAAGGGTTAGAAATCGGCTGCACAGTTGTCCATCAAGTTTTAAGCCGAGAAGGAGAGATCTGTGCAAACGGGGTTACTTTCCTTCCATGGCTTTGCACCAGGACTACCAGGACCATTTCTAGGTGTTTGCTTATATTGGAAGTTACGGTGTGCATTCATTTATTCTCTGACAGCCTGAACTTGAAGAGAGAGAAGCCTGTTTTGAAAGTGAAGGTTTTAGGGGTGGAAGATCAGGGAAGGAACCCATTAGGCTGAGTTTGTGAGGGTATCTTCACTTTCCCCATTAATGTTAAGGTACAGTGAAGTGTTTCTCTGAGGTTTTAAGCATAAGAAATATTTCTGTTCCTGACAGCCCTAGATTTCCACATGGTATGAGACCATGTTTTGGAAGCTTTTCTGTCTACCTTGTTTTTCAGTTTTCACTGGGGAATTCTGAGATAGCGTGTTCTTTCGTGGAGTATTTATATCCTGTCTTGAAATGCTGAATGCATAGCATCTACTTGTTTCTACATGTTTCTTTAAGGAGAGCTGAAAGGTCAGGTCACAAGCTTTAGGGCTACCACAGCTATTTAAAAGGGGTAGTAATTGTCCTCTCTTTCCTGTCTACAGAGAATGGAGGTATTTCTGGAATTGCAATTCAGTAACAAAAGGGCCACAGCTGTACTTTTTGTTTTCCATCTCCCTCAGTGGAAGGAGAAACTGCAGTGGCTTTGCCTGTTTCTCATGACCAGCACTCACTTAGTGCCTGGCAGTGGGTACTCAGAATTTATTGATCTCTGGGTTGATCAGCACCCAGTGGGTGCTGGGTGCTGATGGAATCAACCTTAGTATCACTGTGGTGTCCCTGTCGTAATTTCCTTGCATGCCCGTATCCACAGCCCATAATCTGGTTCAAGAAGGTGGGTTGCTAAAGAAAACCCTTGCAAATTGTAGCTGCACTGATCTCTCTGGCCTCAGTTTTTTTATTTCCAAGTCGAAGGACTCAGCCTTGGCCTTCCTGTTCTTTCTGGGTGCCGGAAGTCCACAGTGATATTCCATATGGTGCTTAATGGACATGCCATAGGATATGTGACCCGTTCATTGTCTCCTAGATGCCAGCCCTGCAGCCTAATGTTAAGCTATAAACATGCCTGCTCTGTCGACAGTTTTTTGGTTACCTCTGTTTTACTTGCTGACATAGCCTGTGATTTTCTGCTGCCAGAAAGCCTGTGTTATGCTTTTTGTCCCCTCCAGTAGCTAATTGAAAAAGCAAACAAACAAACTTCTCTTTCCCACTCACCTAGACTCTACCAGGCTTTCCACCCTGAGTGCAGAAACACCCTGCATGGGAGCCACCTAGTCAGTGCTCCTCAGTGGATCCTGTGCCTCATTCAATTCTATAAACCTTTGTTAAGCTACCACTAAAGGACCAGAAAATTATCCACAAGGAATTTACAGTCATGCCTGCAAGTCTCCCCTTGTCAGACTACCCTGTTTTCTTCAGTATTCTGTTTTTGCAATAGCTTATCAGTTAAATAGCAGTAAGGTTTTAGCTAATATCCGCAGGGATGTTTTCCACGAACCATTACCTTTAATTCAAGAATTTTAGTTTAGTTTAGATCTTTATTTGGTGTCTACAGTGTTCTAAGTGAACCTCAAAACTCCGAAAACCAACTTGTCCACAAAAAAGCAATTGCATTGATTACCAAGGATTTCCTTTGAAATACATATACCTTTCTCTGCTACCTCAGTGTTCAGAGTCATTAGTTGAGGTCTCCCCACAATTGTGTCCTGGAGACCCACCTGCTCCCTCAGCTCCCTGCTGGTAGCCTGGGTGGTGTAGAGTCACGGCAGCCAGGCTTAGAGGTGTAGACAGCTCACAGCATCACAAGGCCCTGGGCAGGGAGACTGTGTGTTCTTGGGAGGGACCCTGAACTGGAAGATGGGAAGCCTGGGGACTCAACAATGGCGTTAGTTAAGGCCTTTGACCTCTCTCTTTTCTGCTAAATAAATGGGAATTGCTGAGAGCAAATGGAGGTTATAGATATGAAAGGGCTTTGAGATCTTGGGAATAAAAGTACAATGTGTACACGTGAAGTAATATATTTTCAAGGGAATGTCTGTCCCTTGGGCAATATGATGCTGCACAGAAAGAAATGTGAAGGGGGTAGGTGGTAAACATTACACCACTGTGCCCAGACTAGCAGCATCAGCGTCACCCAGGAATGTGTTAGAATAATGACAGCTTAGGCCACATCCCAGACCAACTGAAGAAGAAATTCAGAAAGCGAAGCCCAGCATTCTGTTTTAACCAGCCTTCCAGGTGATGCTGATACACACTGAAGTCAGAACCACTGGCCCAGCCTTTTCCTCTGATGCTGTAACTTAGGGGTAGGGTATTTCTGTTTTGACAGATGGTCATCGAGGTGCCTTTTGACCCTTTCTCTCGGTTAAAGCCAGCTGCCCTGCTGGGGGAGGAGGAAACAGTGTCCCTAGTGCTTGTAAGAGAAGGGAAAAAGGCTGCATTGTCCATTATTTTTGACAGTTGCCGCAGAACTTGCCCTGGAGAGCTTGTTAAAAAGGCAGCCCTGAGCGAGTCCGTCCCTTTCCCGCGAAGGTACTGCTGTGTTTGCCTCACCTCCTGCCCTGAGGCCTGCTGCTGCTTGAGCCAGTCCTTAAAAGGAGCACTGGGTGCCACATTTGTTCTCTCTGGTGCCAGGTCTGTGCTATTTCACTTCCCCGGCGTCAAGTGGGTGCTTAATGAGCAGCTGTGACGTAAGGCCCAGCAGACTTGAGAGAAAGCAGCTGCAGTCCATGCTTTCTGCTGGCTGCTCTCGTTCCCTCTCCCAGCCTTGAGTTCTCCCCCTTTAGTGGGGTTGTGGTCAACCACTGTCAGCCCTTCCTCATGAGCCCTGATAACCCTTGCTCAGAAAGAGATGTGTGTGGGGTGTGTGGACATGGATAAGTGACTTGAGACAGAAGTGACGTGGTGTCTTTAGTTCTCCTATTCCCTCGGCCCCTCCCCTTGATTTAGTCCCTAAAATAAGAAAATACGGCCGTATTAGGATTTTTGACAGTTCCTTGTTCTTTTGGGGGGTTAGTGCGATCTTTTCCTGTTGTTCTTGTCCCTGACAGGGTTGGGGCTGGAGTTGACTGGTGGTCCAACATTCCAAACTTGTGCCTTGTTAGATAGCTAGGCTCTCCTGCTTCCAAGGATCCCCAGTGCCTGTCCCTTGACCGTAGCAAACTCTAGTCATGCTGCTCCTTTGGGTGACAAAACAACTCTGGGACACACAGAGCAAACTCCTCAAGGGGGTTTGTTTCTGGGGAAAATAAGCAAAACACTGTGGTGTGAGTGTGTGAGATTGCTACTGAGGTAGACAGAAGAGAGGAGGAACCCCTGTGAGCCTCCAGCGCAGCACAGCGTGCAGGGTGAAGGGGGGTAAGTGTGATGGAGCCAGTGAGGGAGGTCAAGGAACACTGACTGGTAAAGCAGGGGCACTGCTCGAGGCTGCGACTCCCCTGGACCCCCCCATGGGACTGAAGGAAGCTCGCCTGGTGGGCCGGATAAACTTTACAGACCATTCCTTGTTTCCCTGAAAGTGCATTGACCGCCCCCCACCCCCACCCCCAGCAAAGATGAGGCTAGAAGAGAATGTAAAAAAAAGGTAGAAAACAAAGAACACAGAGATCACACCAAATCACTACTTCATTTATTCAACAAATATTCACTGAGTGCCTTCTGTGTGCCAGGCGACTGTTAAGAGAGAGTCCAACTCCACCTGCGGGCAGGTATATTTTCCATACTCTTCCCATCCAAGTACTAACCAGGCCCGACCCTGCTTAGCTTACGAGATCGGGCGCATTCAGGGTGGTATGGCCATAGACTATTTTGGATACTCTTATCTTTAATTTTCTCAGCAACCCTTCAAACTA